GTAAGTTGTATTTAAATCCTTAGATTTACTTACATTTTCCTGAGCGAAATTTTTGCAATATAGCTCTGTTTTCATTAATAAATCATTGATTTTCCTCAGATTAGTGTTGATTCTCTTTGCTTCCCGAATGCTTACAGTTTTCGTCGTAATTTTAAGATCAATTTTATAAAGTCTGTCCTCAATTTCATCTAGTAAACTTTTCTCTTTTTCAAAATTATTAGTTTTGCATTTATTTTGACTTACTGAATAATTATTGGCGATGGATAAAATTCTCCTTTTGCTCTTCTGGCTGTTGCCTATTTCATATAAATATTTATTTGCTTCTTTGAAAGCATATCTTTGATGATCACTGTTTCTAATCCTGAGTTCCATTTTCGTGCTTCTCGGAATTTTCTCTGCGTAATCTTCTGAACTTAAAGTATTTTGCTTTTTCTTTTTATGTTGAGTCGATCCATATTCTCTTTCTTGTTTATCTTTATTTGTGTATGACTCGTCATTATTAGAAATATCTATATGTTTTCGCTTTCCTCCAAACTTACTTTTTGTTTTAGTAACTGGTAATTTTATTATAGCTTTTTGATTATTTTCTTCAGAAGAGTTGCGTTCATATATCCATTTATCATTATATTCCATTAATACTGACGTTTTGACAGAATCCTCTAAAATATTTCTAGGAATTTCTATGCTAGTTTCTTGTAAACTCTTCGAAGACGTGTTGCTTACAGTTTCTTTCGTTGCAGTCAGTTTTTCGTCAATCGAGACATCATCTAAAAATGTGTTTTTAGGCTGTTCATTTTCGTCAATAGCTTCGATGCCCGAACTGTCAAATGAGCTTTTCTCGCTGTGCTCTTGATAAGTTGTAATTTTTTCGATTATTTTGGGTTTTACATTTTCTGGCAAACAATCATTAATTCCTGTTGCTTTAGTATCAATGTTTGGAACAGTAGTTGTTTCTTCTTTATCACAAGATTTGTTAATATCCATATTTGAAGAAATTGAAGTTTGTGGGAAATGTTTATCCCTTTTCGAAATAGATTGCGAAATTCCATCTTTATCATTCTTCCAAGGGGCTTGAAAACGTTTTAGACAACGCGACTGTCCAGTTTTAAAATAACTTTTAGCATTGTTATTTTCCTGAATTTCTTCTTCAGTCTTATTCATAATTTTAGAATGGTCATTTGAGGGCAGCTTTAGACCATAAATTGTAGATAAATCTGGGACATGTAAGTTTGCATATAATTCTTTTTTAGCTGATTGCTGCGCCAAAGAAGGGACAGTAACGCAATTTTTGACATAGTCAAATGTATCATAGTTGCCAATAGAATCAATCTTATTAGCAATTTGAAACTCTTCTTTAGTCTCTAAAAGAGAAGGTGATGATTTCGGAAATGAAGAATTAGAAGTTTCTGTATCGTTAAAAGAAACTTTTTCTTCAGTTAATTCGATTTTTTCGTAAAGAAATTCTTTCGTCTCTAATAACACTGTTTTGGAATGTTCGGAAGGGGATATATTCTTTCTGATTTTATCAAAGTACTCGCTTCCGGATTTTTCTTCGTGAGATAAGTAACATTCATTTATTTCCATGGCAAACGAAGGTGTCTCATCCGAGCTACAAAGTTCATCTTTAGCTGAAGTTTTTGAACTTTTAGAAGAAATAACTATTTCTAAGTTTTCTTCTTTTTGTGAGAAAGGTTCGTTGTTTTTGCCTGATTTTTCAATGGCATCTCCAACTTCACACTCGTTTTTATTATAAAATAATGCACCATCTTGTATGTCATGTAAAAATAAAGTGTCACTTAATTGCTTTTCCACTGACAAATTTTCATGGGCATATTGTGCAATGTTACTCGGCATTCTTTTCTGTGAATTTTCGATCCTACTTTTAGGTGAGGTATTATTCCATACATGTAACAAATCTTCTACAGCATTAGTTACATTTTTGCATTGCTGAGTCTGTGCTTCAACTGAAATCTCAAGATCTACTCTTGATGGTAACTCATTTATTTTTGTATATTCACATTTAGGTGACGTATTTTTCAGCCCATTCATTGTTCTTTCGTATTGCTGTTCTTTTAACTGCATTTCATTTTGCAGTTCATTAGAGTTGCGTACATAATTATCTCTGTTTTCTGGTGTACTTTCATGTAAATCTATTTTTACAGCTTCTGAAACGAACTGTAACTTGTCATCATAATTTGAAGTTTCAGGTTCAGATTCAAATAATGACTGAGAACAGTCATAAGAATCTAGATCATTTTCAGTGCAAGTTAGAGACGGAAAATTGATACAACAAATGGGTGAATGATTATGAGAAATATGATTTTGAGAAAAGTCAATTTGCCGAGGAATTGTTATTTCACTCAATGAATTAATTTTTTCAATCGAAGTTTTTTCAGCATTATTTGTTTTATTAAAACTTAATTCTGTATTGTGCTTAACAGTGTTGTGCTCTCCAAACTTCTTCAAATCTTTAAATTCCGAAATAAGGCAAGTATCTAAAGGATTTTTCGGATATTCGAATTGACATTTATTACTATTTAAGCATTCAAAGTCAGTAATTTTAAGTTTTCGATCCTCCATAGTTTCAGAAATTGTTTTATCTAAATCTTCTATAATATTGTTTATAATATTTTTGTCAATAAGATCTGTCGCATTTGATTCGTGGGTGATGTAGAAAGAACTATCGTTTTCTTTCATATTGCAGTTTGAATCCAAACATTTTTTCCATTTATCAATTGACTGTGTATATTTCGATTCGTATATTTTTAGCTCTTTACTCTTTGACAAACCGAAACGAGTTTCTTCTTGATCTGTGTTTATGTCTGCTTCTTTATTGTGTAAAATATTACATGTAACTGGTATTTCAGGACTTGCTAAGCTCTTCTTTTCATTGTCAAATATCATTCCTTGATTTGAACCTTCAAACCCATATTCCGATTTTTCGGAATCCGAAATTACTTCCATGTTTTCAAAATCATCAGGTGTTCCGTCGTTGCACTGCATCTAATATTAAAAATATCACAATTATAAATAATTACATTTATAAATAGTAAAATTAAATTATTACCTTTATAATAAACATATATTTTATTGACTTCTACCATATGTGTACTGATTATTACTCATTTTCAGAACAAGTTATAACATTAATGTACTAAAAAATATAACTTTGTGTAACATGAAGTAACCGCTAATAAATAAAAAAAGCACTGGTATGAATACTAAAAATGTAGATTAGTGATGTATTTCCAAAAACTCAAAATGCTGAAATGTATGGACTTATTATTATGAAACACTTTTTAAATATCTTGTAATAAATTCATAGAAATGAAAACAAGCTATTAAATATCTTATACTATTTATATATAGAATAGAAGCTAAGAGTCACATCTTCATTTGCGTTTCGGGAAAATTGGCAAAACACCTTTGAATGACATTTAAGAACATAGTTTTTCCGTGAACATCTTTATTATTATAAATTGTGATATTAAACTGTTACGATTTCTTTAAATTTTATTTGTCCCACAGATTACTGATCGTAAGGACGCGATTCCCAGTAGAACACCGAAGTCAAGCATCATCACTGGCTGTGGTCAGTAAGCGGGTGGATGACCACTTTGATCAGCCTGCGAAGGGACCGAGGGTGAGCGGTATCGGTCCTCATTAAACTGTTCTACGGTAAAGTGCTCGACTTCACGAGCAGGTCGTCGGGTTACCAAAGCAGGGAAGCTATCCTCTCTGCAGGGGATCAAAATTGCGATGACTTGTCTTCGGATTATCCTCAGGGATGTTTCCTAGACCGTAGCCAATAGCCCATTGTGTTAGTGCGACGTAAATAAAGTACCTACCTACCTTAAATTTTATTTATGCGTTTCGAAATTTTCATTTTATATGTTTCAAATCGAAGTATAAAAAAGTCAAAAATTTACAATACCAAAATTGTTTACACGAATCGTTATCGTCTCTTGTGTCATTTCTACCGTCAATGATGAAATTCTAATATCTTTTAAAATTATAATCATAATCAGTCATAATTCAGGATTTTGTCATCTTTAAACTTTTCGTTTTTTTTAATATTGAAATTTGTAAATATTAAAATGTACTTTTATTTTATAAACTCAATAATTACAAATCTACTGCTTTCATTTTCTTTGCACTTTTATAACTTAAAAAAATTTGACTTTTATGTTAGTGATTAAGTAAATGAAAGAGTCACAAGTCTTACTTTCTTTTTACAACTTGATTTTTTTAAACTTGAATGACAGAATAAGGAGCGATTCAAAGAGAAATTATCTTCTTGGTTACGGTTTGAGTACACAATGCTTTATTTTTACAAAATAAATAAATGTAGTATGTTTTAAAAGTTATAAATTTTATAAAACTGTAGAAGTATTATAATTTGGTTTTCAAGCCATGTTCTCTATTGCTTCTTTTAATGATTTATTTATTTATTTTTTGAATCTTCAGAATAGAGATTTAATATTTTGCAATCTTGTATAGCTTTTAAAGAAGATTATTAGAACTTTTATTTTGGTTTTATTTTTGTATAGTAGTGTTTTCTGCGTTTAAGAATGAATAATTTTACAATAAATTATTTTATAATAAATTATTTTGAATCAGTATTCATGCATAAAAGTGAAGGTTGATTTGTTACTACAGTTAAAAATAATATTCCATTATAGAATTTCAATTCATCGTTCTAAGTAAATATAATTTTATTTCTATCATTGAACTTAGTATTTTACGTGGTAAATACAATATTTTTTAAATATTTTTGCAATTTTAAAACTCTTTAGGCAATGTGAATTTATTACATGTTTTCATATTTAAATTTCAAATATCAAATTGGAAAAGAAGGTGAATTTAATTTGAGGTATTTTAACTGATTTTAAAATAAATAAGTGGTACTTATATTAGGATTTATAGGACACTATAAAAAACACGAACTTTTACAAACTGTTATTGTGAATCTGAAACTTTAATAGACATTACAACTATTCTACAAAATTAACTATTCTACAAAATGGCTTACCTTGCGAAAGGTCGAAAGGAAGACTTACGATGATTGGCCCAAGAATTGGGTTTGGACGTAGGTGAAAATCTAAAAGTAGTCCAACTAAAGGACTTAATTGTCGAGTCTGAGGGATACGACAAAGAGCTAACAAAAAATTTATTAACCACTTTAATAGAAGAGAGAATTTCCTTTGAAAAGGCATCTGAATTACAAGATATCGCTACACAAAAGGCAAATGAGCAAGCTCAAATCTCTAAACAAAGGGAAATGGAGCAGGAGCGAATCGCCAAAGGAAAAGAAATTGAAGATGAGAGAATAGAAAAAGCAAGAGCACATGAACTTGAAACTCTTAAGCTACAACTTGAAGCCCAAAAGTTGTCTTCACTTTCACAGGCATCACCCGTTCTAACCGCCGATTCACCAAAACTTGAATTGAAAAAGTTGATCCCCAACTTTAATGTAAAAGAAGATGACATTTCATTGTTTCTCTATCTCTTTGAAAGGCAACTAAAGTTTCTAAAAGTTTCAGAAAATCAGTGGGTTGCATATTTGGTAGGAGTCCTGCCCAGTGACGTTGCAAAGATCATCGCTCGAGAACCAGATGAAAAGGCTGAAGATTACAACTTTATAAAAAATATCTTACTGAAAAGATTCAAGTTAAGTGCCGAGCGTTTTCGACAGTTATTTGCAACTCACAAGAAAACCCCTGATTGCACATGGAATGATTTTTATTTTGAACTTCGAAGCTATTTCGAAAATTGGATTAAGGAGGTTAATGTTAATACGTTTGAAAAGCTAAGAAAACTCATAATAACTGATCAGATAAAAAAGAAATGTCCACCAGACTTCAAGGAACATTTTTTGGATGATTGGAGTGAAATAATTTCGCCAACTGAACTTGCTGAAAAATTAGACGCATACGACAATCTTCGTCATAAAACAAAAAGAGAAGGACCAGTGGTTGCCACTAAGAAACCATTCACAAAAGCAAGAGAAGACTATCCCAGATTCAACTCTGCAAAGAAACAGGTCTTGGTCAGAAAATTCGAGAAGCCCAAACAAGAAGAACACTCCTCTGTTTACTGCTATAATTGTAGCACGCCAGGATTTATCAAATTAAACTGTACAAATTGTCGTAAAACTGAAAAGAAGATTTCAACTCGTTTCCATAGCATTCAGCTGAACAGTCTGTCAACATCCAGCCAGATGGCAATCCTCGAAGTAAACATCAATGGAATGTGGGGTACAGCATATGCAGATAATGCCGCAACTCATACCATAGCTGGTGAAAGCCTCTATCACCTCCTTAAAGAACGAGCGACTCGTTTCGAAAAGTCAAACCTTGACTCTGACCGACGGTAGCCAGTCAAAAAAGGAAGTTTTCAAAACCTATATAAATATCTATCTGGAAAGAAGAAGATTTTCAATGCCAATTTTCGCTATTCCGGAAGCCCAAAGAAATAATACTCTGCTTGGAATTGACTTTATAGAAAAATCAGGAATCGTTCTAAATCTCAGAGAACACTTGTGGTACTTCAGTAACAGGACATATAAAACTTTCCCATTTGTGAAACTTGATATTTCAGAAAATCCTGATGTACTTCAACCGGAAGTCAAAAATCATCTATCTGGAATTGTGGACGACGCTACCCCAGTGAATCTCTGCAAAAGTCTGCCAGAAGCTGAAGACCCTTTCTCTGAAGTTACGAATAACGCTGCACCAGCAAAAAATTTTCCACTCCAAACAGGGGTTACTGAACAATTTGCCGACTCTGTTGAGATCAGTAAGGCAAAGAATTCTACTTTTCTTCAACCACATGAAGGGAAAAATCTTAACTCTAACCAGAGAAGACGACTCAATGCTTTATTGAATGACTACGAGCATATCTTCCGTCCAGGGGGAGATGCTACACCATATATCAAACACCGAATCAAAATAGGGAATGCAGCTCCAGTTGCATTGGCACTCTATAGACTCTCTCCTGCCAGAAAAGAAATCTTAAGTAAAGAAATTGAAAAACTCCTTGCTACAGGAGTTATCGAGGAATGTGACTCTCCATATGCCTCACCTGCAGTTCTCATTCCAAAACCAAATGGAGAATTCCGTTTACGCATTGATTACCGCAAGCTTAATGCGGTCACCAAAGCAGAGCCATACCCATTACCTCGTATGGACGACCTTCTCCACAAAGCCAAACATACATCATACATGTCAACTATTGATTTGAGTTCCGGTTACTATCAGATAAATATGCATCAACCAGACAAAGATAAAACTGCCTTTGTATGCCAGTTTGGGGTTTTCCGATTCAAAAGGATGCCCTTTGGACTAAAGAATGCCCCTGCAACATTTCAGAGGCTTATGGACATTTTTCGAAATGGCTTAAAAGTAAACACCCTTGCTTATTTAGATGATATCATAGTAATGTCCCACACCCTTTAAGATCATCTCGAAGATCTGCATTTAGTGTTTGAGCGTCTTCAACAATTCAACTTGTATGCTAACCGAGAAAAGTGCAATTTCTCTTGTTCCAAAGTCAAATACCTCGGACATTATATTACCAACTCCAGTATCGAAGTGGACCCTGCCAAGGTTGTGGCCATTACTAGTATCCCGCCACCAAAGAATGTGAAACAGATTCAATCCTTTTTACAAACATGCAGCTGGTATCGAAGATTCATTCCACAATTTGCTGCGATTTCTTGTCCTTTGAGCAATCTTACTAAAAAGCGGACAGTCTGCATTTGAATTCCTTAAGAAATGTTTAGTTTCTCCACCAGTTCTCAAGCAACTTAATGAGTCACAATCTTTTGTCATACGATCCGATGCATCTAATTATGCATTAGGTGCTGTTCTTCTTCAGGGACAAGGTCCAGATGAGCATCCGTTAGAGTATGCAAGCCGTTTGCTGACCTCAGAAGAACGAAATTATTCCACAACTGAAAACGAAGCACTTGCTGTGGTATGGGCACTCTAAAAGTTTAGAGGATATATCGAAGGAGCGGAAGTTACTGTGGCATCTGATCACCAACCCTTGAAATGGCTTCTGAGCCTTAAATCCCCTACAGGTCGTCTTGCAAGATGGGCATTACAGCTACAATCCTACAACTTAAAAGTTGAATACATCCCTGGTAAAGCGAATGTCATTGCGGATATGCTTTCCCGTCCTAATTGTGTGCATGNACGAATCGTTATCGTTTCCTGTGTCATTTCAACTGTCAATGAAGAAATTCGACCTATCTTTTTAAATTATAATTCATAATCAGTCAAAATCAGTCATAACTTTTTTTTTTTTTAATATTAAAATTTTTAAATATTCAAATGCGCTTTTATTTTATAAACTCAATAATTGCAAATCTATTACTTTCATTTTATTTGCATTTTTATAACTTAAAACTAGACTGTTATGTTATTGATTAAATAAAAGGAAAAGCCACGAGTCTTAATTTCTTTTCACGACTTGATTTTTTTAAACTCAAATGACAGAATAAAGAACGATTCAAAGATAAATTATGTTCTTGGTTACGGCTAGAGTTGTAAAAAAAAAAAACGTATTTAATTTATCTATAAAATAAATAAATTCTTATTATTAAATCCTAAGAAAAATATTCGAAGGAAGATTTGTGACTTTTTTCAAATAACCAATTTATTTTTAATTTTAATTGTTCTCATTATTATTGTTATGACTGATTTATGCGAAACATTTTTCACTACTCCTATACCTTACAAAACGTAAATGAAAATTTCGGTTTCTTATATAAAGGAATTCATAAATTATTCTTACAAAATAATCGATTACTAAAATAAGCAAAAATTAATTGTTATTTAAAATATGTCTACTCAATTAAGTAATTTTGTAATCAAATAACATAAAATATTTATAATTTTTATCAGATAATGATCGTGAATGTTTAAAAAAACCTTATGAGAGATTATACGAAAATGTTTAAATATATGTTGGATACTGTTTAAAATAGCATGATCGTTACTTCGAATTCACACCAAACCCCGATTTGAAACAAGATTCTCAAAAAGCCAGAAAGGGAGGAGTACCTAGTAAATCTCCAACTATAATTTGTTTGACTTATAAACTTATAAAAATTTAAAAATACAATAAAATGGTATTTTCTCATTAAAATATTCATTCGCTTCAAAAATATCATTCATTCGCTTCAGGTCAAATAACGGTCGAGATGTTTCATGCTCTTCAAAAATAGGTGCCCATTTTCAAAACTTGTCAGACGTGTATGAAAAGAAACAAAAGTGATTTGAAATATAAAACGGTAAGTTACCAACGTGAAATGGAAAAATAAACTTGAAAAACAAACTAGAAAAGCGACAATATCCGAGCGAGAAAAAAATGAAAAACAGAATTCGAAACACCACAGTGGTCGAAAGGAGCAAATCAGGGCAAAGTGCATTTCCACTCGCTGGTGGTGAGGAACTAATGTCGTTAACAAGGTCGCCCCAGCAAGAAATGTGGTAAATTAAATTATTGATCTCAGTGATTGTCGCAGCGATTGTCAAAGCTAAAGGGATCTTTCAGAGACATAAATTTGATTTTCTTGACAAGCCTAAAAATGACTTAAAAATCAGAACAGGAAAGGATATTTACAATTTTATGGTGCTTCCATTTTTTATATTTATTTAGATTTTTAACGGTTAATAGCCTTACTAATTGACATTTATATTTATGGTTTGATGATAAAAACTTATTCATATTCATTCTTTGGTCAAACAATAAAATTAAAATTAAAAAATAAATATAACATGCATTTATATTGAATTCGCTGTTATTTAGTCCTCCTTTATAATTTTTGATCATACTACTGTTTGCTATTATTGTTATAAAATTTAACTTTTCAAAACTATTTAAGTTTATAAAAGTTAACTAGCGAATTGAAATTTTGAATTAAATTTCAGAATTTCAAACAAACAACAAAAAAAAGTTCTCTGATACGTATGCATTCAAATGCAAACACTTCAAATATAGCGGTAGATGATAAAATTTTTAACATTCTTCTAGCACCACAGATAACGAGCATTAACTTACAGTCAAAATTATAACAAAATATTTAATAAATTTATATTCAAAATATTTAATGTTTTATGCACAATATTACTATCGCCCTTTCTGTACAACATAGCATACTAGTCTAACGTCAGAAATCTTATGCATTCAGTCTTTAATATCTAAACACCTACATATGTCAGTCTTGCTGAGCCAATTTTGCACTTTAATATATTTTAAGAATGTTAAATGTTAAGTTTTACAGATGATCTATATTTTATTAAAATGTAAGAATACTTCATAATATGTTTGACGTGAATAAAAAGAATGCTATAGTAAGCAGATATTTAAATCGTAGCATGTATATCGAATGATTATAGTTAAAGAGAAACATTTATTTAAAATTATCTAGGGTTAGTTTTAAAAAAAAAATCGAAATTATCTTCGAATAATTCCCGGTATCTTTCGAAAATAAATAATTTTTAAAAAAAATCGATTGGCTCTAAAATGAGACTCTCGCAATAAGGCCAAAGTAACGCACTTTTAAAAAACGGCCAAGAGGTAAAATGATTTTTCGGATAATTTTTCAGAAAATTTGTCATACTATTAATATTCATGTCAATTACTATACATAGAGTATGAAAAAAAAATCCACAAAATATGTTTTTAAAAAAAGGAAAGAAAAGAAAAGGGGGGGGGAGTTTTTTAATTGGATTTTAATTACCTCTACCTTGTAACACTAAAGCAAATGATACTGATTGGATTTTACTCAGAAAGGATCGAGCTATTAAAACATTGAATATATGTAATGTATCATATTTAAAAAGAATTTCTGTTGTAACTTTACGAATTGCTAAAATTATAATGAATTTCAATGATATTTTTATTATTTTTGATTACAGTATTATTTTTAAATAAGAAATATTGTAAGCAGCTGTACCTATAATTATTAATGTAAATAATTTATCAGAGGAGAATTCTCTAAATCGGAACGAATGTTACGTTGGATAAAACAACAAAATTGATTTTTTAAAGTAAATTCATTTTTTATGTATGCGGAAAGTATTCTATGTAAAAAAATAATTTTAATTATTTGTTTATAAAAAAAATTTTTATAAACAAATTTTTCGAATTCCACAAGGTAATTCCTTCTCTGGGGCTTTTGCCAATATTTTTTTGCATTTTTTCGAAGCTAAATTTCTTGAGCATAATGAATTTAAAGCTTTTTGATATATTGATGATTTGATTTTGTTTAATTGTAATAATTATAATTTTATTTATAGTATTTATCCTGGAGATTTGGTCTTGACGAAAACTAATGAGGATTGTTTTAATGTTGAATATTTAGATTTTAAAATTGAAATTGTTGACAGTTTTATTAAAATTGGTGTCTTTGATAAAAGAAAAGCTTTTAAATTTAAAGTTATTTTTTTCTGCAACTTTAATACTAATTTGTGTAATAAAATATTTAAAAATTTAGTTTTTTCACAATTGGTTCGAATCAAAAATATTTGCAATAATGCTGAAAGTTTTCAGGAAGCTGTGAATAATGTTTTAAATAATTTGAGTAATAATAATTTTCCTTTTAATTTTTGTAATGTTAATTTGCTTCTCCCTCAATTAGAAATGGTTTCGTTTTTATGGCTACCGAGGCCGGTACCCCCTGAAGACGTCGGCTTCGGTGGTCATATTTTTATTTTTATTTCCTCCGTTTTCTTTATCTGGAAAGAGGAAGATTTTCAATT